AACATGTTATATTATTAACCATGCTCTTATGTTACAACAAACACATCTCTTCTTATTAACTATTTGTCACATAAGCAAATATATCTTGGAGTGTGTTATGTTAATAGCTAAATTAGAGCATCTACAGTCGGGCGCCTCAAACAGGCCTCAAACGCCTGGGCGTCCCGCTCGGTCACTCACTGGTCACGATTTTTGACCCGGACGGACGCCTTAAACGGGCCTCAAACGGCCGGGCTGACCGACACCCCTTATATCCAGTCCAAATATGAGGCGGATATGGGGTGGCCAGGACACGTCTGGGCGCGTCCGCCTGATAAGCCCAATGTGATAGCCTGGCTTTATTAGGGATGATATACTACTCATATTAATAAGAAATTCCTTCTTTTTCGGGAGCCCATTCGGAAAGAACTCCAAAGTTAAGCGTGCTCAGCTTGGAGTAATTTCAGGATGTGACCGACCGAAAAGTTGCTCCCAGGTGCGCACGAGTGAGGACAAAGTGTGCATAAAAGACTAGTATTGATCTGTGGGGGCGTTCTAGATCCCGCCAGGAGTAACGACCACCGGCGGGTGTGTCCGTGACGTTACACCCAACCCACCACCAGCCCCACGGTTGTCTCACAAAAAAACCCCATCTGGCTCATTGCTCCAAAACCCTAGCTCACTCACACTCTCCTCTCTCGCTTCGTCCTCCCCTCTTGCCGCACCGATTTCGATCGAATCCGGCGCAATGTCGAGCTCCGGCAGCCGCTTCGACTCCAAGTTGGATTCAGACTATGAGTTTGCCCTCCGAATCGTCTTGGAGCAATGTCAAGCGCGGCAGCAGGACAGGGAGGTTTGGCGGCTGAAAGGGCGCATCATCCTCTCCGACACCTTTGGCGACGACCACGACTCCTCATCCGACGACTCGAACGATCCGCCACCAGCCGCTGACGCCTACAGTTGCGCCCGCGACCAGAAGGGCAAAGGGCCGGCGAGGAAGTAGTGGATCTCCGCCGTCTCCGTCTTCAATTTTAAATTTTTAGTAATCTAGTTTAAACTTGTCCGTCGTTTATGTGAATTATGTGAACTTTGACAATCTTTTGGACATCCGTCGATGATCTTTTGGTGATCGAAATGTGCATTTCTATGTCCGATTATATGTTTGCGTGATGATCTACGTTGTTTTTATCTACATTGCATGCTAGTATGGATACAAGGGACCAGGTTTGACATATACGAATGTGGACGATAGGACTGAAGGAGTGCCTGGTCTGTGCCCGCCGTCCTCGGGCCCGGATTTGCAGGCCACGGCTGTAGATACTCTTACTCCCACGATTATTCGCAAAAAGGAAAAATACTCTCACGATGAAATGAAAAGTGGAAAAGCGTTTGGACGCGCGAGCGACATGATCTCCACTGCCAACTCAAAGTCAAATGCGTCTTTCCTCTTTTAAGCTCTACCTGCTAAAGTTACTCCTACTTTTGAACGGCAAAGACGAAAGAAGATCGAAATTTGATCGGCCCGACGAGCCTTTGATTATTGGATAGCGTAGAGCAACGACTCATATCAGAGGAGATCAACAGTGTCAAGCAATGCATATTATATTATATCATTTTAATTTAATCATTCGAGAAGTAGTAGTAGCTCAGAGGAGAACAATAGTGTGAAGCAACGAATATGAGCGCACATGCATGAAATTATTGTTTATTGCGAGGAACAGAGTAATGATCTGTGCGGTGCGACACATGATAAGTACCGTGTGATTATCTTTTTCTAAAGTAGTACTCCCTATGTAAACTAATATAAGAGCGTTTAGATCACTTCTTTAGTATTCTAAACGCTCTTATATTAGTTTACGGAGGAAGTACGTACTAGTAGATGATAATTAACCAAGGACTTATACTCTTAAAAGAAATGCTTGCAAGGCGCGCTTGTCCTACCGTAGTACCAACATTTTCCCTTCTCTATCGAAAAAAAAACATTTTCCCTTCTGATAATCGTATCCTGTAGTTGAAATGTTGTCTTTGATGTAGTGGAGCATTCTTTTTGCCCTTTTCACTTTTCTGGGGACGGCGCACTTTATCCCAGGGCATTATTCCAATAGTAGAACGGCGGCGATAGGATAGTGTAGGGAGATGTGCGGTGCGGGGACACGCAAGGAACGCGTGCGTGCGTGCGTATGCCGCCCGCCGGAGCCATACGCCGATCGATACGCACAGCGCACACATGCAGGCCATGACCCCTCGGGCGAAGCAACGTCCCGTGAGCCCGGCCGGGGAGCCGAGTCGGGCGGCCCATGTTCCCGATGAGAATGAGATCGGGTTCCAAAGGGCCGTCCGTCCGTCCGGTCGAGCGGCCACCGCACCCGCACGCACGTTCAACGCCGCCAAACGAACCCCGCGGACCCGCCGCTTCTCCCTTTCCGGCTAAGCAACACCGACCTTTGACGCCTGTCGTGGCCGGTTCGATCGGAGCAAGTTAAGCCCTCCTCCGGTCCGCGTCCAACCGGAACAATAAACCGGCCGGCCGGCCGTTCTTGAAAAGGAGAACCGCCGGCGTCGCTATGACCCTGAGCAATGCAAATTGCGTGCGCGCGTGGCGTAACGGTGGCTCAGATTCGACGACGTGGTACGTACATAATCCGACCGAACGGCATGGCGCGTCACGTAATACGTACGAGCACGATATGACGGGTCTCAGTCTCTCAGATTCTGGTGTGCGGCAGTGCATGCATGCCTATGTGTTTCAACGTACGTACGTATGCGTACACGCGCTCACGTGCGCTCATTCTTTCTGCAGGAATCTTTCGGTGTGATCTACTCAATGACAAGTATCTAGAACTAAATGGATGAAAATTGATATATCTAAAACTAAAATACATCTAGATACACCCATCTCAATGACAAGTATTTTCGGATGGAGGAAATACTACTGACGAGTACAACTATTCCAGTCCATCCCGTGATATGGTTGGTCGTCTATCAACGGATGACACGATCGATGGGGGCAAGGCACTGTATCTCAATCCCACCTACTCCCTCCGTTCCAAAATAGATGACTCAACTTTGTACTAACTTTAGTACAAAGTTGAGTCATCTATTTTAGAACGGAGGGAGTATATATCATAGCATTTGCAGGCCAACAATGATGATGGACCTAGAGTCGTTCTGCTGTGGTGCCAAATAGTGCAATTTAATCTAGATATCACCACAGTCCTTCGTTGCAAATACTCCTCGAATGGCATTGCAGTGCTGCATGATTAGAGCATCTGCAGCCGGATCTGAGAAATCCAACCCCCTATACTTCCACACGCCCGCGGACGCGTTCGCACGGACCCTCATATTTTTCTCTCGGCATTCACATATCTCAAATCTGGACTCTCAAAACGTCGATCGTAAAAGACAATGTCGTATGCAAATAACAAATGTTGGTATGGAGCATAGATATCGTTTACATAAAATCTATTTTAAGTGCACAACTCAAGCATCAACTCCTTGATTGCCATTGTGGCTCCACATATGCTCCATAAGATTATTTAGTAGCTGCGTGTGCATCTGATGATCTCGAAGATTTTCATGCATATGAGGACGTTCATAATCTGAGCCGCATTTTTATTTAGTCTGTAATTAGATAGTTCCTCCATTTTTATTTAGTTTGTAATTAGATACCCCCTCCACCAAGTGAACTGAGAAATAAAGGTGCTCCATAACTAACATGTGATGCTTCAGATGGATGACACGTAGCAGACGTTTATATATACATTCTTGGAGGACATCCTTTATGGATTGGAATCCTCTGATTAATTTGCTTGTTTCATAGTTCTCTACAAATCGCGACCTTAATTTCGCATTGCTTGTGGACGTAAAAATTGAAGTTCTACCTATATGCCAAATCAAATTACATAATATAATGCTTCCACCGTTCCTAAATATAAGATTATTTTAAAATTCTAATACGATCTGCATGTAAAGCAAAATGAGCGAATTTACACTCTAAAATGCGTCTATATATATATTTGTATGTAACCCGTATTTGAAATATCTAAAAGATATTTAGAAACGAAGGGAGTACATGCCACACGAGATGTGGTCAGATATCTCATATCTCGAGTTTCCATGCAAAAAAAGCTATCTCAAGTTTTTTCCTTTAAGAAAATAGCATTTGAATGAAAGAAGTAATGATATGCACATCCACATTGAAAACATACTCCTGTTAAGCAACGGCGGGCATTGATCTTGATCCAACGGCCCCGGACGGCCATCACGACGCGTCACCAACATGCCAGAGTCCTCATCCGATGAGATCAATCTCATTAAGGCCTTGTTCGGTTCCATGAAAAATAAAAGGGATTGACAGGGATTAAATCCTATCTAGTTCAAATTTTTCCCAAATCCCCTCCATTCCACTCCAATCCACTTGAGGAGTGGCTTAACCGAACAAGACCTAATCCATCGTGCTTAATCAGGAGTATTACAGTTGGAATTAGAATATGGAATATTTCCTCAGTAAAAAGAAGAAGATTAGGGGGCTGTTTGGTTCTAAGACTAGCATTGCCATTCTTTACCATACATTTTTGCCAAGCTTGCCTAAGGTTAGTTCATCAAAATGAGAGCCATAAATTAGCAAGCCTAAGGAAATCTTGCCACGCTTTTTATGTGTATGCCATGTGGGACCCAAGTGTGGATTGCCTAAGGTGTGGCTTGAATCAAACACTCACCTAAATTGATCAAACTTGCCTAACCTTAATTGTAGCAATCTTTGGCTAAGTTAGTCATAAACCAAACAGCCCCTAGGACTTGAACACGAATTAAACAGACAAACAATCTCTGCACGCACCAGATTCCAACCCCAATCCCAACCCAAACCGACCCGACCCGACCCCTCCCCCCATCTATAAATCCGACCGCACCCGACCCCTCCCCCCACAAACCCACCCACCGAAAACAAACTCCCAGAAAAAAAACTCGGAAAAGCTCCAGGCCCGACCCGGAGAGCGACGCCCGTATCCCCCACCGCCACCATGGCACGCGCCGCCGCGGCCATCCTGCCGCTGCTGCTGCTCCTTGCCGTGGCGGGCGGCGCCCTGGCCGCGTCCGCGGACATGTCCATCATCGCCTACAACGCGGAGCACGGGGCGCGCGGGCTGGAGCGCACGGAGGCGGAGGCCCGGGCCGTCTACGACCTCTGGCTGGCCGAGAACGGCGGGGGCTCCTCCCCCAACGCCAACTCCATCCCGGAGCGCGAGCGCCGGTTCCGCGCCTTCTGGGACAACCTGAACTTCGTCGACGCCCACAACGCGCGCGCCGCGGCCGGGGAGGAAGGGTACCGCCTCGGCATGAACCGCTTCGCCGATCTCACCAACGACGAGTTCCGCGCCGCCTACCTCGGGGTCAAGGCCCAGAGGGCGAGGCCCGGCCGCATGGTGGGGGAGAGGTACCGCCACGATGGGGCCGAGGAGCTGCCCGAGGCCGTCGACTGGAGGGAGAAGGGCGCCGTCGCCCCCGTCAAGAACCAGGGCCAATGCGGTGAGAAAAATCCGTCCTCTCCTCCACTTATCATGGCGATTTTGATGCGATCCCCTGTTCTGCTGACGGCGATCTCAGATCTAGGTTCTTCGTCACCTTTACCTAGTTCTTCTCGATCCCAAAATCGATCTACGATGCAAGCGGTGCAGCCTTTGTCCCAAGGGAAAAAAATTCCTCTTTTGGGGCTTAATTAGTTGCAAATTTGTTGACGTGCTGGTAGGTTATGGTTGCAAAAAAGTTCATGCTTTTCTTAGGACTGAAGCAATGGCCATGAGTCGCCCCGCTTTGACTTGCACAAGAGTTCATGGCATGCGATTCGTCGGGTTGCCTTGCGCAGTGTGGTTTGGAAGCAGTACAGAAATATTATCCCGATCTGTGGCTGCCCTTTTTGGGTTAGGTTTTGTTTGTTCCTCGCACTTCAGATTGTCGTATTGGTGCATCTGTCAGTCAAGCGCTGCTGACCAGTTGATAACCGGAACTTAAACCATCAACCAACTACCTAAGTTATTAACCATGCCTGACAACGTTTACTGCTATTTTTTTGTTATAAGCTTTTCAGTACCACTAGCATGTAACGAGCTATACAGATTGTTGTTCTGTATGGTGATTAGGCTGTCTTATTCTGTCACCTTCCTTTAATACTGGGCCATGGGGGCATAGCAGAAGAAGCAAACAAACGTTATGTAGCGTCCTTATTAGTAAGAAGGGAGCAACAATTAAAGGCAGTCTGATATGTTGGACTTGCCATGTGCTGTGTAGTTTAGCTCCATTATTGTTCTGATATGTGGCCACCTTTTTTTTGGGTAGTTTTTGTTTGGACTTTGCTATTGGAACTGTTGTATTCCGTGTATCTGTCAGTCAATTGCTGCTGACCAGTTGATCATCATAACTTGAACCATCAATCAACCAACTATGCAAGGGAATTAACCAGATCTGGCAATGTTTAAACACAACTATTTTTAAGCATTTTCAGTACAACATACTGTACAAATTGTTCTGCATGGTGATTATGCTGTTAGTAGTATGTGGTAGGTTTGCTGCTCTGCATATTCTGTCAGCTGCAATTGATATTGGGCCATGGGGAAAAACAGAAGAAGCAAACGAAAGCTTTGGCAGGAAATTGATGTACTAGTTAAAACTGTTGATGACATAAGTTGTTCTATTACTGTTGACTGAAGCTTCGTTTGTAGTAATTATTTTGCTCTTGGCTGATGCATCGTTTGTAATGGTGGTGTGTGCAGGGAGTTGCTGGGCTTTTTCTGCAGTCAGCACAGTAGAGAGCATCAACCAAATTGTCACCGGTGAGATGGTGACATTATCGGAGCAGGAGCTTGTGGAGTGTGACACCAACGGGCAGAGCAGTGGCTGCAATGGGGGTCTTATGGATGACGCCTTTGAGTTCATCATCAAGAACGGTGGCATTGATACCGAAGATGACTACCCTTACAAAGCCATTGATGGCAGATGTGATGTTCTCAGGGTGGGTACTTGCTTGCTTACTTCAAATAATCCAGATGATGCTCGGTTCTGATGTTCTGACTGGTACATTTTGTCATATCTTTGCAGAAAAATGCGAAGGTGGTGAGCATTGATGGCTTTGAAGATGTCCCTGAAAATGATGAGAAATCGCTGCAGAAGGCGGTTGCTCACCAGCCCGTGAGTGTCGCCATTGAAGCTGGAGGCCGGGAGTTCCAGCTCTACCACTCGGTAAGTGAACTTGTTGCAGCAGGCAGCTAACTTTTTATCCAGCATTCAGGCCAGTCTGGTGATAACAGGCCTTTGATTGATCTACATTACAGGGTGTCTTCAGTGGAAGGTGTGGCACGCAACTTGACCATGGTGTGGTTGCTGTTGGCTATGGCACTGAGAACGGCAAGGACTACTGGATCGTCCGCAACTCATGGGGTCCAAACTGGGGAGAATCTGGGTACCTCCGCATGGAGCGCAACATCAACGTGACCAGTGGGAAGTGCGGGATAGCCATGATGTCATCGTACCCCACCAAGAAGGGCGCTAACCCGCCCAAGCCAGCCCCAACACCTCCCTCACCGCCGACGCCACCTCCCCCAGTCGCCCCTGACCACGTCTGCGACGAGAACTTCTCATGCCCTGCAGGCAGCACCTGCTGCTGCTCGTTCGGCTTCAGGAACCTTTGCCTGGTGTGGGGCTGCTGCCCGGCCGAAGGCGCAACCTGCTGCAAGGATCACTCCAGCTGCTGCCCGCCGGACTACCCCGTCTGCAACATCAGGGCTGGGACTTGCTCAGCGGTAATTACTTCTGCTTTCTTGGTTTATTATTCTTTCTGCAGCATTGCGATAATAGTATCTACATCTGTTTTTTCCGTTTATGCCTTTGATTGAAGTGTTCAGCTGATGCAAGTTAGGCAGTTCTAAATATTCATGCCGTATGCATGACCAAACTGACCTTGTCATGCTTTTTTCTTGAAAAATACATACTACTAGTGTATACTTAGGTTTTACTTGTTCATCTTAGATTGTAGTAGAATGCCATAGCGGATCGACTGACTTGTTTTTGTTTGGATTAAGCAGACCAAGAACAGCCCGCTGAGCGTGAAGGCCTTGAAGCGCACCCTGGCCATGCGGAACACGGCATGAACTCGTCGGGAGACGGCGGTGTCTAAGGTGGAGTAGAAGGATGCGGCTGCTGGAGCTTTTCTCCCTCCGTGCACCCAACAAGCCTTTGTGCAAAATTTGAACCAGACATTGCTTTTGTAGAATTATCGTTGCTTAGTATTACGATTCTCTAGCAGTTCTGCTCGCTTTATATATCCCCTACTTCTACATGTACTCATTGTACATAGCTCGCCCCCATTTGTACTCGTATACTATCTTAAAGAATATTCGTCAAAGCTAATTGGTGATCATCGTGTACATGCTGTTTGATGCTTATATGTGGATGCAACAGTTTAGTTTTTCAAAACCGATAGTGTCTACATATCCTTGCGTATTTGATGACATTGTCGATTTTAACAATAAAATCACTCTTCTTCCTCTTCAACCAGAAGCTCTCTCTGCTTCTCTGCCATATGCAACTCTCCATCGTCTTCAATTTATATGCCCACAATAAAAAAAATCTTTATTCAGTGAAAAAAGTGTTCCCACATGTGTGTAGAATTCGCTAAAATCTTTATTCAGTGAAAAAAGTTATCTACATGTGCAGAATTCGCTATTTCATGGGTTTCTCAGTTTCAGATGCCTTTTCATGTTTTGCGTGTCAGCTCTGTTAATTAATTGTTTGTTATACTTATCATAGTATCATTTGCATTGCATCATGTCACTAACTCTTTGCAACTCAAATAAATAAATTGCATGGATCTTTGATCCATTTAAAACGAGGGAATTCACATGATGATTTCTCTTTATAATATATCCTCCCAATATTATTAGGGAGCTATATTAAAATAGTGCATTAATTTTGGAATCACCATAATCCACTTGCAATTTGATTCTCATGCCTTTTTGCTTTAAGTTTGTTCTCCAAACTTTCTTTCTTCATTTATCGAGGCTCCTCCTAAATTCTCAACATTTTTTGGACCTACCGAATACCCACTTCCTTCTCACACTCATTTGAATTAAATTCAAATGAATTTGAATTCAACTTCACACGCGTGCTCATTTCTATTTTTTTGGATCATGCTCATTTTTATGAGTCCGAGAAAAGTACCCTCCTGCTCAAGCTCCATCCCTAACCTCTCTTTCTTTTCTGTCTTATCTCGGTTTTTTTAATATAGCAGAAAGAGAAGGGAAGGGGAGGAGAAGAGACCCCCAGCGGAACCCAGCAGCCAGGCCTCTGGCCATTTCCACTCCACTGGGACGGCCTCTAAGGCCCATCCGCAGGTCCAGCCTTTCTAAATAAAAAAAAAGACTGTCTAAAATATTCATGAACACAAAACATTCATTTTTTTCATATATTTATAAAATACTCATGTTTTTCTAAAAATCATGGTTTTTGAAAATCTGCATAAATTTTAAAATATCCAAGATGTTAAAATTTATGTTCAATTTTTCTATAAAAGGGTCATAGAAAAACTTAATGATTTTTTAGAAGATAATAATAAAATGAATAAATATAAAAAACAAAAAAGCAGACACGGTATAAACATGGCAGGAAAACTCGTGCTCTATAGAAAACCACAAAGAGTCTGAAGAAAAGCACTCCCAGAGGTGCCGGGTGTGCGATTTGTACTCCCTCCATCCCAAATTACTCGTCGTTGAAATGGATGTATCTAGAATTAAAATACATCCAAATACATCCATACGTGCGACAAATAATTCGGAATGGAGGGAGTACCATTTTTCTGCAAGCGAAGAATAGCATGGTCCAAACACAGAATACGAAGACGGGTTCGGGAAAATTTATTATATAGATTTCAAAGAATCCCTTATATGCTCTTCATCAGGACAAAAGAGAAATCAGCATTTCCATCGCCAAAAAGGAAGGAGAGTGTAGCCCTACTCGGCCCGAGCTCCAAGCGGGCCGCACGACAGGCCGAGTCTATCTAGCCTGAATAAGTATAGAACCCAACCGCGTGAGCAGTTTTCTCAATCTCTTTTTTTCCCCTCCGCCTCCTCCCCAACCAAGAGACGAACTCGCCGAACCCTAATCCCCCCCTCCGCCGACGAAATCGCCGAACCCTAACCCCCCTCCCCAAATCGATCAAGCCGGCCGGCGGCCCTCCCTCCCTCCTCATGGCGCCCAAGCATCTTCCTCCGGAGTCCCTCCCACGGCGCATCCCCATCGGCGGCTTCCACCCGATCACGATCCATGTCCGCGTCAACAGGGACGGCACGTACCTCCCAGGCACCTCCCCGTCACGGGCGGGCCGTTCCGGGACTTCGCGGATCTCGAAGACGCCGTCCGCGCGCGCTACGCCTCCATCTACCTCAACTGGCATCGCCGGAGGAAGCCCAACGACCCGCCGCCGCCTTCAACGTACATACGACCATCTTCTAGTTGAAATCGATTTGTTTTACTTGCTAATAATCGATCGATGTGCGTTTGGATTGCCTTTTCCAGCGATAGGATTTTCCAATTTGAGTTCGTGGTGGCGGACGGGAAGCAGGCTTCACCGCCCGCGCTGCAAAGGCCGCAAGAACCTGCTGCAGATGTGTCGTCGCTCAAGCAGTCGCCGAGCGCTACAACACTGGAGGAGAAATCGCCCGCCGTTTCCTCCGGGCAGCCGGATCAGGACACTGTTATGGCCTCGGCACCATCACCTCCTGGGTCAGGCATTTGGGAACGGCTGCGACGTGACTGAGGAATGTTGTATTACATCAGGGTCGATCACGGGGGCTCTTTCCACACGTATCCTTATGCGGGCGGGCCGTTTCAGAGCCTAGATGAAGCTGACAAAGCCATGGATCGCTATTTTCTTGAACATAGGGACCCAAAACTGTAAAGTTCCTCAACCACTTGTTTCTCCTGGTTTTGTTCTGTTTGCACACCTGCAATTGAATATGTTCAGACTTAACTAGCCACATGCAAACAATGCACCACTTTGTTTATTCTTTTATCTGAACTCTAATATGCACAGTTGATTAGCAGCCCTTTGCCCCACGCACCTCTGTTTATATCGATGCTGTTGGCTAGAAAGTTAAGTTCCATTATCTGGTGAAAGCAGTTTGCTATATGAAATCAAAGAAGGCCCAGGAGCTTATATATAGGCATGTGCAGTTTTGTTCTGCATTTGTTGATCACTAGTATGAATTATTTTACCAGCATTCTATGCAAACTAGTGCATCATAGCCCTATTGATAGCATTTATATGGTCCTTGTATAACTTTCTATTCTCCACTGTTGGGAATTGGCACTGACCATAATTTGGATATAAATTAGGTTAATGCACCAAGGTGGGGTTTCTTCACTGGAAATGGCCATAGAAGCAGCTCTTTACTGGCCTGATGGCGCAAGGAAGCGTTCAAAGTCAGATCACGCTGAGAGAGCCCGTAATGGAAGGCGCCGATTACTTCAAGCTTTGGTGGACAAGCATAACGAGGATCACAGTCTTTTGGGGGTTTGTTCTCTTCTCTCTCTCTCTCCAACCTGCCTTCACTCTCTGCCCCACTATCACGACTGCCCTATGTCTTGTACTGATTTATCCATGTAAGAATTGTTGATCTGACCCATGCTTTAGGATTTTGCGTATGAACTCAAAGATGTTGTGGAGTGCAAAGTATTCAGTGAGAAGCGTGGGTGGTACTATCATCTCAATTTCACTTTGACTAAAGGAGCTGATCGTGGCATCGAAGATCTATTCTTTGTCGAAGTCAAATATGTGCGACCAGTAAAACAAGAACTGTCAGTCAGCTGCTTCTGCATGATTAAACCTACCGATAACGGTAATGCTATACCCTCCCCTTATATCAAGTATTGCCTTTGGTGGGTGGCACTAAGTTGAGCTTATCCCAGCATGGCTGAATACACAGAAATCTTATACCTTCAGTTAGTCAGCTGTTATTATACTAGATGACCCGTTGCGCCAATGGCGCAAAGGCCAAGAGCAATGCAAGTATTGAAAGAGTAAACATAAATATATTTAGAGATAGATTGGAAGACATGGATTATTCATGATACATAGTGTTCTAAGAAGCTTATGATAGATTATTTACAATGCTATTAGGAAGGAAGGTAGATAGGCAGACATACATCTTGTGTTCACTGATTTAGTCTTGGAAGAGTAAAGTAAATGAATGTATGTTCATAGCAAAGGTACTGAAAGGAAGAACCACAGTGGGCAAAAGCAAAAATGCAACATAGATAAATAACATTGTCTCAACACATCAACATGGATTTCATACTTATACATGACCATAGCGCAGTTCAAAAATGAAAAAGAATTGTAAGGCGAAGCTATAAACAGGGAGCTTCGCATGTTATACGGCCAACATAGGAGACTAAACACAACAGCCACAGAACCAAGTCGTAATGGTGAAGCTATACATATACAGCTTCACATGGCAATCAGACAGCTCAGCAGGCTGAATATGATGCTCATGGGGATCGGACATAGTGACCGTAGTCGTCGTCCATGTCTTGATGACAATCATCAGCTGAATCTTCATGAGAATGCTCACTGTAGAATGGATCAGGCACTTCATCATTTGAGTACATGCCTTTTTCCTCTAGGAACTAAGATGTTGTGGCTGTAGTGTTTTGAAGTGCGACCACTGCATCATGAATCTCCATGATAACCTGCTTCAGATTAGAAACAGACATTGAGGCAGCAGGGTCCGAGGCTAATGCCAGCAAGGCCATGGATTTTGTTTGATACAGCACGCACTTCTTCCACATGTTGCATGCTTCTTTAGTTATCTTGTAGCTTATTTACATTGTTTTTAACAAGCAAGGCACATAGGTAGAGATGCATCATATAGACACCTTTGAATTTGCTATATATAATTGGTAGTGTCATGACAAATATGTAGCAGTACCAATACAACTGAGGGGATACATCAATATTAGGAAGTCCTTGATTACATTTAATATACGCGACGACAAAAGGATGCGTATCACATAGATTACCATAGTCTAAAGCATGGCAGTTAGGTTAGATGCAGCAAGAACAAAATGGTTGAGAAATCACTAAAACTAAATCTAGACTACGCTGCAGAGGAAACAATGGTATTTGCTTTAGTGGTCACATAGGCATGGCAGTTAGGTTAGATGCAGCAAAGGTAATTAGAAACGGCCTTTCATTCTTTCTAGGCGTTGTTCTACTTACCATAAAGAAAAAGGTTGGAAATATAGATTGATTACATATGCAAGCAGTGAGCTGGCGCTGACGGGTATCCTCCTTAGCCACAGCTGCAATGACCACAGTGAGGGCTTCATGAGGCCAAATGTTCTCCTTAAAACCCGGTACCAAAGATCCAAGGAAGATTGCTTTGCACCCTTGTCAGCACCATCTGAGGTGGTGGATCTGTAAGAGAATCAACAATATGACAGGAAATGCTATCGACTGCAAGATCAACATATATATGTCTTAATTTGCTCACGATCTAATAGAGTAATCAAATAAAATCTCAGGTAACCACCTCGTACACAAAACGAAGGTCATTTAAATCCTGAAAATAATAGTACAGAAGTAGAAGTTATATTCTAATGCAATACATGTACTTTATGTATCCTGGAAATATAAACAGAAAAAATAACATGACTGAGCAATATACACCGTGCACATTCAGATATTCATGCTTAAAGGAAGTGCAATGCATACTGTGGAATCACACAGCCTAAATCCATCTTCGTCTAGAAGACTGCATCACAACCATACATCAAGAAATTAATGGAGAAGGGGTTTGCCCGGACGACGAAAAATTGTGTGACAGGCGGCATGGAGTTTTATATTTCCAAGCCAAACTATATTACAAACAAAAACATTAGAGACAATGGCCATGAAGAACTAAGCGTCTATATGGAGTGGGGTGAGAGACGGACCCTTCAACATTTCATTGCCCACAGTTATCCCTGAATGACATGCATTCATTCTTCATCCTGGAAGCACCGATGCTGCACCAAGTTGTCAAACGTCAATGATAAATCCAAATACATATTTATAAATAAGACTGTTTAGATATGTTGCAACAACAACAACAACAAAGCCTTTAGTCCCAAACAAGTTGGGGTAGGCTAGAGGTGAAACCCATAAGATCTCGCAACCAACTCATGGCTCTGGCACATGGATAGCAAGCTTCCACGCACCCCTGTCCATAGCTAGCTCTTTGTCGATACTCCAATCCTTCAGGTCTCTCTTAACGGACTCCTCCCATGTCAAAATCGGTCGACCCCGCCCTCTCTTGACATTCTCCGCACGCTTTAGCCGTCCGCTATGCACTGGAGCTTCTGGAGGCCTGCGCTGAATATGCCCAAACCATCTCAAACGATGTTGGACAAGCTTCTCCTCAATTGGTGCTACCCCAACTCTATCTCGTATATCATCATTCCGGACTCGATCCTTCCTCGTGTGGCCACACATCCATCTCAACATACGCATCTCCGCCACACCTAACTGTTGAACATGTCGCCTTTTAGTCGGCCAACACTCCGCGCCATACA